CTTTTCTGTTTTGTTTGCTTAAATTACTTTCAAACATCGTTTTAGATTTATTATAGCATTTGAATAGAACCTGTGGCAAAGATAATTCTTCAAATGACATAAATTTTGTGCATTCAGAGTTTCGTTATAGTAAACAAATATAGTGAATTTTAAAGAGTGCATTTATTCTATTGTGGTTTATGCGCTCTCGACGAAGTAGATTTAATTTAATCCAATCAATTTAAATGAATTTCAAGAAAAAATGCGTATAACTATGTCCGCCATGTTATTTAAAACTTGACCGCACTTAAACAGCTTTTAAATTGTTGATAATTGTACAAATATTGTTTCCAGAATTACGAAAGGCATAAAAACCTTAGCCGGAAGATAAAAACAACATAATTCAATCACTTTTAAAGCAAAAAATGTACAATTTAGAAACATATAAGAGTAAAGAAACTGAGTTACTGAGCCGGGTAAACAAAGTGGATATATATATAATATATTTATATACGTTTGGTGCGGCCGATTGCAACCAAAATACGAGGTGCACATCTACATGTTATAGCAGTCCTATATACAAAATTTAAACGTTCTGAGGCTACTCGTTTTTGAGTTATGCGATATACGTACGTACATACGTTCGTACAGACGCCACGAAAAATTCTCTTCAGAAAAGATTTTTTTTATTCTGTCCTTACGTACAGATATCACTCAAAAACATTGTTAAATTGCATTCGATAGCGGGCAAAATGATAGTTTCGTTGAAATAGGTTGCTTGAAACTTTTCGCGATTACAATACTTCCTTTTTACTTCGTACAAAGAAGTAAAAACAATCCGTCATCTATCCCCTGTTGCCCAACCTCGTAACACACCTAATTTCACTCTAGACCCTGACAATGACCTGACTCGGAACAGGGAGCTTACTAAAGCTATGTTCAATAATGTGGGAAGTAGACAGGATACACAGAAGGGTATACAAAACCCTTTATTTTTCTCTCTTTACAATAATTTCCGTACTTCGGAATACAAGACCCACCACTTGTGGTCTAACGTAAGAATATAAAAATATTAACTAAACTCTAACTTAACTAACTTTGGAATAATAACAAGTGGAAGATTGGCCTTATATTAACAGGAAGCCGTATGTAGTACAGAGAACTGTTAACACTACAATACGTTTAAAATTATCAAGAGGATTAAACCTCTGGCCTGGAAGGCAACCAGCAACTGAGTAAAACTTCTAAGGTAAGCGGCCTGCTTCGACTAACTCCTTCCTCTCTCTCGCTTGGCAAAAAGCCACAACTTAAGTACTTGGCGTTCGCCAGACAAATTTGCATAAATAAGTTAACGCTTTTAATTCTGGCCGGAAGTAGAAAATAAGAAGTGATAGTAAAGATTTAAAATAAAATAAACGTTAGTAAAACTTAAGATCCTTACATACTTCCCGCCAGAGTTAATTAGTTTGAAACTGAGGTCTAAAACGACCTTGTTGAAAACTTTTAGCTCTAGAATCTAACGCGAGGCCAATCTTTTACAAACATTTCTCACTAGAAACTAGAAATTTAAAAAAAGAAATTTGTTTTTTACAATAGCAGCTCCATGGACAATTACTTTTTCATCTGTACTGCATCTAAACAGGAGCTTTTATTCAAATCTGGTTCCTTCCAGAGATCTGGAAGGAAAACTAGTTTAATGAAATGTTACACAATGAAATGGCAAGTAACATGAATATTTATATTTCTCTTAACATTCTTATTTCATTCATGACTATTTTAATTATCTCTCCCCGTGCTCTCTGACATGTGTTGTAAAAGAAAACACCAAACACGAATGTGTTTATGTACTACGTGTTCAACACTTCCTCCTACAATCAAAACACTAACGTGTTAAAATTCAACATAACAAGACCTCGTAACACACCCTAATTTCAACTCTAAACCCTGAGGTACTATTCTGAAAGTGGCTAACTCTGAAGTGTAGCGTCAGAGAGCCTAACTACATTCATTCAACCTTTAACACATATTCACCATGATTTGGTCTTTTTACAGTCACACGAATAAGTTAAAATTTTTAACATTACTTTCACTTTTACCATATCACGGTATTTCTTAACATTTAAAATAACAGTTCACATTGTATATAAGAACATATTAACATGCCGTTAATTTTACGCATTTGAAAACATACATTAGTAGTACATTGTTAACTTCTATTCTTTTCAAAGCAAGTGCCAATTCTTCTACATTGAAATACTACATTTCAAAAAGTCTTTCAGACTAAAACTTCTTTCTTGCCAGAATGTTTTAAATAAAATTTATACAATAACTTTTTACAATATTTAAGTCTTTACACATTCGCTATTATACATCAACTTTAGTTTTACGCGCGAGTAATTGAAAAACATAATACCAAAATCGGTAACAACTCATTTCTCGCCTTTTGGCGATAAAGGTAGACCTCGCATGAGGTAAAACTTCTTGAAATCTGCCACTTGCAGTAAGAATGAAAGATTAACTTAAGTTTGCAAAGTAACATAAAATTTTACTTATCTTTGTGATATTCGGACATCCTTTTTTCTGAGCCCAGTCCTGGAAGGTAGCGAAGATTAGGTTTGGTTTATCCTCCTTCTTGTGCGGGCTCGCCCTTCAGTGCCTTCCTCTAGAAGCTTTCTTTTTCCTTCCAGTTCGGTCACCCTTGAATACCTTCCTTTTTCGCCTCTGCCTGTGGTCTTGGCCGTTTGATGGCAGCTGGTCTTGGCGGAACCGGGAAACTTCTTCTCTCGTTCCTGCTTGGACCTCGTTGCTGGCCGTTCAAATTTTCCTTGTAACTTTTCCTCCGCCGCTGGTGGCCCTTCCGCAGTTCGGCGACATTTGCTGCGGAGAGTCCTGTCGGATGAGTAGATCTTCCGTTTTGGGAGCCGGGTTATAGTTGCCGTCATTTCTCTCTGGCTCTCTTTGCACATACGTCGTCCTTCTCCCTTCTTCATTCTGGGGGTGTTCGTGAACTCTCTTTTCTGGACGGTGGAACGGCTTCTTTTTCTTGTTACCTTCAATTTTTCCAACGGGGAAACTTTCTTTTCACTTGCTCCTGCCTCTTAATGGCTTGCCCTTGTACTTGTCGTTTGTTCCACCTCTGGAGCTTGTGCCTGCGTGTCTGCCGTGCCGGATCCTGCAAAAGATCTGAAATATTTGCATTTTATTACGATCATAGTAGGTTTTATTGATCAATGTTTGCGGAGCAGGTTTCACCATTCCTGGCTTTTAACACTACTACAGCGTGAGTTATTTTTTTTCTATGACATATGGTCCTTCAAATCGTGGAAAAAATTTGGCAGTTTTATCTTCTGGTGCTGAAGAAAGTGAATGCTTAATTTTTAATACTTCATCCCCTACTTTATAAGTTACTCCCCGTCGTTTCAAATCATAATAAAGCTTTTTGTTTTCTCTGTGCTACTTCAGTATTCTTTTTTGCTTCTTTAATTAGTTTTTCTATATCACCCATTTTAAATTCTGGGGCTCTTTGTTGCACATAAAATAATTTATCTAACGGCGTTATAATCTTTCTGCCTAAAAAATAACTCAGCAGGAGTTTTGCCCGTTGTATCATGTTTTGCGGTCCTAAGGGCGAAAGCAAATTCATTGACATAGTTATCCCAGCTTTTATGAAAATTTTTAACATAACTACGGATAATTTTCACTATATTTCTATTGACCCGTTCCGCTATATTTGATTGCGGCCGATACGGGACCATTTTTAAATGACGTATGCCCAGTTTTTGGCACATGTCTTCAAATATATTACTTACAAATTGAGGACCATTATCCGATATAACTTTTAGGGGCGCCCCGTATTTTAAAATATATTTATTTAAAATAGAATCAGTAACTAATTTCGCGGAGGCTCGTTTTAAGGGAACAATTTCGGTCCACTTACTAAAATGATCAACCATAACAAGGAGATAGCGACTTTTATTTAACTGACTTTTTGGGAAAGGGCCCAATAAATCGATGCCAATTATTTCATTTGGAAATTCGGATTTAATACTATTTAGAAACCCGGCCGGGCGGAAATTAATATAATTAACTGCTTGACATGTTGGGCAGGACTGGACATACGCCCTTGTTAACTTTTGCAGTTCAGGAAAATAGACTGCCTCGCGTACGCGTTGGATAGTTTTTCGAATACCAGCATGAGAAGCTAAAGGGCTGTCATGGAGCTCCTGCAGGATATTTAATCTAAGACTAGCTGGGATAACAGGTCGAAATTCGTTGTTGGAATTCGTAGTTTTTGTATAAAATAATAGACCATCTATTAGTTCGTAATGGGCCGCCCTATTTCTTATCGCCACAATATCTTGGTGGCTAAAATTTTCAGGATCCTTTAAATACTCATAAATGTTTCCAAACTCAGGATCCTTACCCAGTTCGGTTATTACAGTTTCTCGGGAATTTATTGTACATGCTGTGAGCATTGCCACCTTTACAGTATTACCTTCTTCATCTATTTTTAATTCTGGATAGGGCATCTGCTACGATATTTTCCTTTCCGGGGGTATGCTTGATTACCAGATTATATTCTTGTAGCTTGAGTGCCCATCTTATTAACCTTGGGGATAATTTTTTTTCCCTGAGTACAATCTAGTTACCGCCGCATGATCAGAATACACTGTTATTGGCGCCCTTTCCAAAATAGACTCGGAACTTTTGCACTGCTAACAGAACTGCAAGTGCCTCTCTCTCGGTCGCGGAATAATTTTCTTTGTGTTTGATTTAAAGTTCGGCTAAAAAATGCCACGGGCTGCTGATTTTGCGAAAGTACCGCTCCTACCGCATAATCCGAAGCATCCGCTGAAATTTCTAAATTCTCATCCTTTTTCAGGAAATTTCAAAACAGGGGCTTGCGTTAATGCTTGCTTTTAATTTTTCGAAAGCACTATTGGCTTCGGCCGTCCACGAGAATCTTGCCTTTTTCCTTTTTAATTTTAACAACGGTTCAGGTCATTACAAGTTTAACATACGAACTGGTTTCATGTCAGCTTAAGGGACGCTTCATTAAAATCCAGCGTAGCTTGTGCTTCTGAAAGAAAATCTATTCCTAAAATTAAATGTGCTTGCAAATTCTTTACTATAAAAAACATAATCTTTACTTGTTCTTCCTTGATACGAACGTGTAGCGGTAATTTACCTATACACTTGCATCTTTATCCCTGCGCAGCTAACACTGTCGTATTATCCGAATTATATATGCGGTATTTCCGAAAATACTTCCTAAAAAAATCTTCTGCCAAACAGGAACACTGCGCGCCTGTATCCAGGAGTGCGGTGGCTGGGATGTTATTCACCAACACTTCAATCATTGGAAGAGTCAAATTTTTCACCATCACTGTATTTAACTTGAAGGAAGAGGGGTTTTCTTGGCCTTCGGATTTCCGCACCCTCCCGTCAGCAGAAATCCGTTTTAGTTTAAATCTTGTTTTTTCTTTCCATGCTTTTCTTTTTCCACTGGCCTTCAGACTTTTTTCCTGGATTAATATTGAACTGTCGACGTTCGCCGGTTGTTTCTGGATACTCGGTTTTCCTTGCCCACTGATTCGATTAGCTTCCGTAGGCGTGTTCTTGACTTTGCTGTGGTCTTGGCGCAACAAATTGGTTTCGGTTCATACTGGCGTCTTCTTTCAATGTCCGCCGTTCTTCTACATTCAAACTGGATTGCTAGCTCAAATAACCTTTCCAGTGTAGTCGGATACCTTTATTCAATAAAGTCTTGTACTCATGCACGGGGGTACAGCATAAAGTGGTCCTCCAATTTTTCCAAAAAACTGGTTACCGGTGAGTTTCCATTAAATGTTGCTTCTGGTTTCATCGATGCGCGCATGATCTGGACGATGTAACCAAATCCTTCCAGGGCGGCAGCTGGCATTTCTGGATTCTGAGCCGTTTCTGCAGGCAGCACAGGTTCTTCTTGAAACTCGGCCATGGTTATTCTTCTTCGTCGGGCGCCACTATCAGGTTCAGTGTTCCGCCTTACTTGCTTTGGGAACATTCAATGACCTGACTCGTAACAGGGAGCTTACTAAAGCTATGTTCAATAAATGTGGGAAGTAGACAAGATACACAGGAAGTGTATACGAAACCCTTTATTTTTCCTCTCTTTACAATGATTTCCAGACTTCGGAATACAGAGACCAACCACTTGTGGTCTGAATGTAAGAATATAAAAATATTAACTAAACTCTAACTAGACTTAACTTTGGATTAATAAACAAGTGGCTCCTTGAAGATTGGCCGTATATTAACAGAAAGGCCGTATGTAGTACAGAGAACTGTTAACACTACGATACGTTTAAAATTATCAAGAGGATTAAACCTCTGGCCTTGAAGGCAACCAGCAACCGAGTAAAACTGCTAAGGCAAGCGGCCTGCTTCTAGTAACACCTTCCTCTCTCTTGCTTGGCAAAAAGCCACAATTTAAGTACTTGGCGTTCGCCAGACAAATTTGCATAACTAAAATAAAGCTTTTAATTCTGGCCGGAAGTAGAAAATAAGAAGTGATAGTAAAGATTTAAAATAAAATAAACGTTAGTAAACGTTAAGATCCTTACACATGGACCAAAGATTATATTACTTTGCTATTTTTATTTCAATAAAAAGGGGATTTCAAAGAGGTGTTAAAGGGCTATTGTATATTTATTATTAGAAAGGCAGATATTTTTGCATATATTTGCTGTAAAAATATTGCTGGAAACAGATTTATGCACGTTTTATACGAAGCAAATATACCTTGAGAATTTGTTCGAATATGTTACCCTGAGTTGCATTTTGGTTAGCGGAGACTGACTGGGTGTCTGAAATCAAGGTCTAATATCCAGCAGAATTCAAAGGGGACAGTACACCTTTAACAATCCGAAAATGTTCAAAATTTGACCAATGTTTCTCATTTTTTTAAAAAACAACTATTCCAGTTATATGCATAAAACTTTCAGAGTATGTAGATCCATTATTTATAATAAAATAAAAAAATAATTAATGAAGAAAATTTAATATTTAGATACTTAAAAATTATCTTAAATAAAATTATGTTTTCATTTTTCGAAAATTCAACTTTTCACTGCGCGCCAGATATTTAATTTTATATTTATTTTTTAGTAATAAATTTAATGCTAAATTAAAGAAAAGATTTAGTTTCTAATTTTGTTCTATTATATATTAATTATTTTAAAATTTTTATTCTTAAATATTACATATATATATAAAAATTAATTTTGCATAATTTTTGCTTTTAATAAGGTCATAAAAGTGTTAATTTACAATGTATATCAATGTCAGTAGAACACAAGGGTAATCATAATTGTTGTTAAGTGTATACAAATTTGCAAAAGAGTTACTTAAATAGTTTTGGAAATATCCTGCGCGCAAGTTGTAAAAAACAGCGTTTTGAGATAAATGCAATTAAAGTATAAATTTATGAATAAAGTAATCTATTTTGAACTTTCATGAAAAAATACATTTTATACATGTAACTATGACTATTTGCCAGCGTATTAATAAATTTTGGAATGAAACATCAAAAAATGACAAAAATATGACTTCTTATGTATACTTATGTGCCACAAATATCTTCGAAAAAAAGCTAAATTCTTTAAAAAAAGTACAAAATTTGCAAATTCACTTAAATAAAAGAAGAAAATTTAAGTGATAATTAAAAGTTGATCATAGTCTATATTATAGAGATCTATATAACACAAGTATTATAGAATATTTTTATTTATTAAAGAAAATATAAAACAGCTTTAAAATTTTCCAGCTTCATATAGAATGCCCTCTATTTCTTTCTGAGTTTCAAATTTTACAGAGTTTGCCATGCGTTTTGCTCTGCGACTTTCTAAACTCATAGCTGAACTACTAATTTCTGCATCAAAAATTCAACTTTTATCAGCTTTTTTGCTGATTCAATTGCATACTGTCCTACACGAAAGCCCATTCTTTTTATACATTCAAGTCGACATATTCTCCCATCATTGAATGATATAATTGCTTCATATGCAGCAAGCTGTGCGATAAGTTTACTCGATCCACTTGTTTTAGGGCATAGTTTCCACACAAGGGAATTAAATGATTCATTGGAGTTTTGTGTTTTTGCTTCAAGGCAACGTTTCAAAAGTTTGGGATCTGAAAAATCTTTAAATAAAGGTTTTATACAGTCCATCACTGCAGCTGGCATGCTGTTCTTGTGTTGGAATCCTTTCTCAGAACCAGCAGCTTTTGCTCTTTGGAACGCACACCATGAATTCTCACCTTGTGGACAAAATTCGTGAAGAGGTTCATCATCGGTAGAACGTTTATGATAGAATATAGCCCACACAGCTTTACGCATATCCATGCATGATTCCTTGTTGCTCCTAATAGCATTACCATAGTACGTTGTGATTTGATCTATAACTTTATCTGTTAATCGACCTTTTCCACTTAGTGGCTTATGATCAGCCAATTGTTTTCCTCTCATATTGATTTTTAATTGTCGCAACCTATTACCCATTCGTTTCTGTACATGACCAACACATTCGATTTTTTTCAACACAATATCACTTCCATAGTTATGATTTTTCTGCAATTCAGAAAATGTTTTCGTATCACCATCCCCAATATAGCTGACATATTGGACACTGTGCTTTTCTATGGAACGATTGAATATTTTACATATTCCATCAACTTCCATCTTACCTGCAGATCCTTCGTGATTTTTGATACATTTTTGTTCATGATTTGCTTTCCATAAAAGATATTGTGCTCCATACTTTGGCCCTTTCCAAGATTCACAACCTTTACAGTATGATGAAAGTACCTCAATGTCTAAAATTTTACCAGTTTCTGCACCAATTACACTCGCAAATCCCACGCGTGATGAATGGCCGCGCGTTTTCCATGATCCATCCCCACTAACTGTGAGGTCTGAGCAGCCAGTTGCTTCAATTTCTTGTTCCGCAGCATACGACATAGACATTTCAGCAACTTTTGAAGTTGTCGACAGCATTTTTCTTAATTTTCTACAATATGCAGATTTTTGGATAGGTGGTGGTAAGTCCATTACACCACAAAATGTGCGCATACCTGCAAGACCTTGACTAATACATCTCATTCCATACATAAATCTTTCATTAATTTCTGGAATGTTTTTCTTGTCACCCATCATAGACGAAGAATAAAAAGAAGTCAGTTCACCACAAGTATCGCAAAGCAGAAAAAATTTTGAAGATAATCCATTAGTGTTGTTTTCGCACACTTGTACATCTGATCCACATTGTTTACAACACAGATACTTGAAAATATTACTGAATAAAATTTCGATATCCAAAATTCTATATCCTTTAAATTTAGAATCAGCAGTTACGTTTTCAAAACAACTAGAATTAAGTTTTCTTGCTGAAGCACTCACAAAAATGCTTTGCTTGTCTGGTGTTGTGAAACGATTACCATGAAACTTTCGCTTCTTCTGACGCTTTCCAGAAGAACGTTTAGGAGTTTCACAATCCATATTCATAACTAAATTAATAAAGTACTTGTAAAGAGTATTTAAAGCGTACTAGTTAGTTAATATAATTAGTAAATAAACACAATAAACCACGGTAAAATCTTATAAACAAGGCAACAAACTTCAAACGAAATCACAGTTCTTAAACTTAGCTCTCATTTTCTACTACAAAGTGATAAGCAAGCGACAACGTATCAAAACAAAATTAAGGTAGAACTAACGTTTCATCTTGTCTTCTTCCACTGGCATATTTTTATTTAAAAATAGCAATGGCTGGCTTTCAGCACACGAAATCCAAACTGAGGCCCTTTAAAACTATAAGCAAACACTACAGCAGCTGCCACGATCATTGCGGGTGTAAGAAAAACAGCTGCTTCGATATTTACATTATTTTCAATATCTCGCAAACTAATGAACGTATGAAAAAAACAATTGCACCAAATTACTCAGAAATGATTGGGCTATAAAAATATCAGAAAATTGAAAAAATCGAATTTTTGAA